TAATTAACTTCAACATATAGTCTAAATTCTCCTACTTCAATTTTCTACCGATGGAAAAATGCTGTGTCACATAGCTCAGTTGATAAGGACATTTTTCTTTATTTCAGCAAAAAAAAACAATCCAAACGGTTTAAATATCTAACTAGTAATATCTATACAAGTCATAGAGTAAATGAGAAAATTACAATCACTACGACTTTTATGATCATTTTGAAATGGATAAAAGACAGTCTGGATCGATCAAAAACAATTTTTGATCTAGAAAGGTTTAACAATAGCTGGCATGATAACAATCGAAATTATCATGATCAATAATTTATAGTTCAATGATTTTTTTAGCTCAAAAGCGATTTAATAATTATATCTCATATTACTTTACTAACAAGAAAGTATCTGCCATAAGGTTATAAGATACATGATAGTTTCATTCGAGAGATGTCTGATCTTGTCATCTTGAGAATAATTAAATTTATATGAAATAATGTTTCTTGATATTGATTTATCATTGAATAAAGGTCATAAACTTATAGATGATATTACTTAGAAAAAAAAGACTCGTTTTGATATTTTTGATTGTTTATTTTAAACTCGATATCATTTTAGGCTGTTCAAAAACGTTCTGAATTAAAATTAATTGTTACATCAGCAACACTTGATTCTGTAAAATTTTCTGAATATTTCTTCAAAGCAGTAAGTTATAGAAAGTTTTTGTTTTTTTTAAATTTAATATATCTATTAATTTATTTCGTATAGCCAATTTTTACTATTCCGGGTCGAACATATCCTGTTGAAGTACTTTATACAAAAGAACCTGAAACTGATTATCTTGATGCATCACTTATTACTGTAATGCAAATTCATTTAACTGAACCACCTGGTATGTATTATTGATTAAAAAAAAATTTTTTTTCGAATATTTTTGTATTTTTATTCTCTAGGTGATATTTTGGTATTTTTAACGGGTCAAGAAGAAATTGATACAGCATGTGAAATTTTATTTGAACGAATGAAAACATTAGGTCCTGAAGTTCCAGAATTAATTATTTTACCAGTCTATTCAGCATTACCTAGTGAAATGCAAACAAAAATTTTTGATCCAGCACCACCCGGTTCACGAAAAGTATGTTAATAAAAAAAAAAACAATTTGTTTTTTTAAAATATCTATCTCAATAGGTTGTTATTGCAACAAATATTGCTGAAACATCATTAACAATTGATGGTATCTATTATGTTGTTGATCCAGGATTTGTTAAACAAAAAGTATTCAATCCTAAATCAGGCATGGATAGTCTTGTTGTAACACCAATTAGTCAAGTATGTTATTTTTTTTTCTCTATAAAACACATAGTCTAAAAGGAATGTTGAAGTATATAGGATAGAAATTTGTACCTCTTCTCTTCGTCGCAGATGTTGTTGACATATGATTGTGTTAACAGTTTTTTTTTTTTTATTAGGACTAAAAAAATATAAAATGAATTTAATTTAGGCTCAAGCAAAACAACGTATGGGTCGTGCTGGTCGTACAGGTCCAGGAAAAGCTTATCGTTTATATACAGAACGAGCATATCGTGATGAAATGCTTTCAACTAATGTACCTGAAATTCAACGAACAAATTTAGCTAGTACTGTTTTAAGTTTAAAAGCTATGGGTATCAATGATTTATTATCATTTGATTTTATGGATCCACCACCATTAGAAACAATGATTATGGCTATGGAACAATTACATGCATTAAGTGCATTAGATGATGAAGGTCTTTTAACTAAACTTGGTCGTCGTATGGCAGAATTTCCACTTGAACCTCAATTATCAAAAATGTTAATTATGTCTGTTGAATTACGTTGTGCTGAAGAAGCATTAACTATTGTTTCAATGCTTTCTGTTCAAAATGTTTTCTATCGTCCTAAAGTATGATTTTGTTTTTTTTTTTGATTTTTTTTGAATTATTTTTTACAATATATAGGAAAAAGCAGAACAAGCTGATCAACGTAAAGCTCGTTTTCATCAAGCTGAAGGTGATCATTTAACATTACTTGCTGTTTATAATGCTTGGAAACAAAATAAATTTTCAAATTTATGGTGTTATGAAAATTTTGTACAACAACGTTCACTTAAACGTTCACAAGATATTCGAAAACAAATGTTAGGAATTATGGATCGGTAAGAATTCTTTTTTTTTTCTCTATTAATAAATATATAATAATCTATTTGTTTGTTTTTTTCTCCAGACATAAACTCGATGTTTTATCATGTGGAAGACAAACTGGACTTGTTCAAAAAGCAATTTGTTCTGGTTTCTTTCGTAATGCAGCTAAACGTGATCCACAAGAAGGTAAAATATTCAAGAAATTATTAAAAATTTTATTTATTAATATATATTTTCTAGGTTATCGAACATTAGTCGATAGTCAAGTTGTTTATATTCATCCATCAAGTTCAATTTATCATCGACAACCAGAATGGTATGAATAAGAATTTTTCTTTCTTTCAAATTAATTTTAATATATATATATATTATTTAGGCTTTGTTATCATGAACTTGTATTTACAACAAAAGAGTATATGCGTGAAGTTTGTGTTATTGATCCAAAATGGCTTGTTGAATATGCACCAAAATTTTTTAAATTTGGAGATGCAACAAGATTATCAAAGATGAAAAAAGAACAACGTGTCGAACCATTATACAACAAATACGAAGAACCAAATTCATGGCGTATATCACGTCTTCGTCGACCTTATTACAATCCGGCTGGAAAATTTGGTTAAACAAAAAATTCTTTTCGTTTTTCTTTTTTTTTGCTTCATTTTTGTTGTGTATATGCGAAATTCTATCTCTTTTGTTTGTGTGTTTATTTATGGAAAAAAAAAACAACATAATACATTATTTGTTTGAATAAAATTGTGAGCAACTTTATTTAATTAGTTATAAAGATAACAAGATTCAATCGTAAATCTTCTTATTACTATTTTTTCTTTTATCACAACATATAATTTCACTCAAATACAGAGAAAACATACTAAAATCAGTTTATTAATCATTTATGCTAACATTACACACATTCAATTTTTCAAACCGACAAAAAAAAAACTACTCCGACTAATATTAAAATCTCAACGATTTATGTTCACTAATATTCATTTTGTATGAATATTCAAAACATGATTCACTTGGCAAAGAGTTTCAAATGGATTGTTTGAACACTAACATTTGTATAAGTTAGTGGCGTTACCAGATAAATGCTAGAGGGAACTGCATCTCCTCTGGCTAGATGGTCAGATGGGGTGAGCTCCCACGTCAACTGTTTTCGAGTTAAACCACTAGTATAAGTATTCACTAATATCCATAGACGTTCATAATCTATGTTCTGACACGAAGAAATGTTAGTTATGAATTACTTTTCTTTGCGAATTTGTTTGGTATAAACATTTGAAAATGTTTCTAAAACATCCAAAGATATCTACTATCAACTAAGAAGACGATGATAACATATCTATAGTATTCAACATATATTCACTAACAACTATAATAATAAAAAATAGCAATGCACTTATTGACAAACAATCCAAATAACTTTCTCTGTGTGTTTATCTTGAAAATACGTTAAACTTTATAAAAAATATACTCATAAGCAATCATCTTAAAATAAGAAAAACATGCATAGAAACATTCATTAACACTAGAAACAAATGCCATTCACTTGTTGACAGACAGTTCATAATATTTTTCTATAAATTTTATCTCGAAAATATTTTAAAAATCATAAAATAAGGATTTGTCTCTGCAACAATTGTGTGAAAACTCTAATTTAAAATGATCTGTCTCTACATTTTTAGACTACTTTCTATTTATATATATGAAAATTCACCGTAATGTTTCATATCATGAAAAAAAACTTTACTCATGAAAAAACTATCCGAACTCATATTTATTGTTTGAACTCATTTTGTGTCCAGAAGGAGGCCTCGACAAGATTAAAAATCTTAAAATGCTTCATATCCATGGGCTTCTTATATGATGGGACGAATTGAGAATTAATTAAGAATGACCTATTTATGCAAGGGACCAATTGAGAATAAGAGTTAAGGGACGAGTTATATGATTGACTAATTTGGGACGAATCGAGAGGATCCTATTCAGAAGATTCTCTCTTCTCATATAATTCATACGTATCAATGATGTTATCTTTCATTCCAACAAACACATACATATCTACAAATTTCATCAAAATGTATTTTCGATAAATATATACCAGCTCCAACAAAGCTAACTCAACTATTCTATATTAATTTTCATTTTAATAGATCATGGTAGTGATATTATATTAGGTCTTGATAGTGGTACAGGTCATTTTACATAAGGTCATGCTAGTAATATTGATTATTCAACATCAGATTGTGTCAACACACAGATTTTGGTAAATTAAAATTACAAGCAACATTCTTATTCTTGTCTTAATAATGGTTATATAAATAGACTGAAATATCGATACAATTTAATTAAATACAAAGAAGGATTATTCATTTAGTTTTTTCTTTTTATTTAAATTCTTCTTTGTTGCGTTACTTTTTTCATGAATCTTAAATTGGCTATTACATTTTTACAATCTTATATGTGATCCAAGAAAACAATTGATTTTTGAACATACATTATACTAATTTATTTAAGAATAAGCATATAATATGTATACAATGAAAATAGAAAGAGAGAAACGAGAGAAACGAGAGAAAAAAAAAGTGTTTCGCTTCTTCTTCATTTATCATTATGTAACAAGATGTATTTGGGGAAAAAGAGAATTTTTTTTCTCCTCTTTCCAATTGGAAACTAGTAGTTTAAAGAATGCTAATAAATAGGTGGTTAAACTTTAACTCAGAAAATATTACAGAATATGAGTAAAAGAAAGAAAGGCAAAAAAGAATATGAAGAAACAGAAAAAAAAACGATACATGAAAATTATTATGTCACATGTCCTATGATGAATGAGTTTTATCTGATGTTATTCATCCAAACTGAACTTGATATTCATTTTCATCATTAATGTCAATAACAACTTTAGTATTTGATATATGTTTCATTAAAGATAAAGAATCTAACAATGGATTTAGTATTTGTTCATTCACATATGTTTTTAATAAGCTAATATGACGAACTATATTGAATAAAAATACAAATTCAATTAAAATTTCTGTTTAAATAGAATACCTTGATCATAATATTTCAGATATGAATCACGAGCTTTCCATGTTAAAATAATTGTAAAATTTTGTTTTTCGTAAATTTTTTCAATTAATTTTAATCGAAAATGAATCATAGAACAAAGCCGATCCATAGTAGGAGATTGAAAGTATATAATATTATTCAAACAATCGAAAAATTCCTTTCGAAAATGTAAATCAATCTTTAAAAAATAAATTTCATTATTAAGTCTACAGGAAAAGAAAAACAAACTTCTTCATTAATATTCGATATAAAAAAAAATATTGTGTTCGTAAAATCAGCTTTTTTATTCTAAAAAGTAATTTATAAAACTTTTTAATTCATAAAATTAAACTTACTATCTTATTATCATTATCTAAGTATCGTAATAAAATATTCCAAAATTCATGATGAACTTTTTCAATTTGATCAAATAAAATAATAGCATAAGGTTTTTGTTGAATAATTTTTATTAATTTATTTTGTTCAGGATCAACCTTATCTACAAATAAATAAAAAAGTAATTTATTCAAATAAGAAACAAAAGTTTACATTCTTCTCTTGGTATATTAATTAATTTATATATTGAATTAGCTTCAGTATATTTACTCATATCGATAGTATATATTGATTGTTCTGAATAATACAATGGTAATGCTACTGCTCGTGCTAATGTTTTTTTACCAACACCAATTGGACCTAGACAAATAAATAAAATAATTAAAACAATTATTCGTGAAATTTATGTTTATTTACCACAGAATAAAAATGAAGCAAGTGGTCGATTTTTTACTGGAAATTCAGCTCGATTTCTTAAAATAGTTTCAACAACAGTGTCAATAGCAGCATCTTGATCAATAAATCTATTATGTAAATCTTCACGTATTATAGATAAACGATTATTTTCTGCTTTAGTTAATGTCGATACTGGAATATCAGTCAATTTACTAACTAAAGATCAACAAGAATAAATATATTTGAATAAATGAAACATTTACAGGTATCAATAATAACAGTAGAATCAACACCTTTTGGAATTTCATGTTTTAATGTAAATGGTTTTGATTCTTCTTTAACTTCAGTTAAATCTATTTCTGATGTATCATCTTTTGTTGCTGTATCTTCTTTTTCTGATGCATCACCCTTTTCTGATGTATGTTCTTCTGTTGACGTATCATCTTTTTCTTTTGGTGATGTTGTTTCTGTCACGTCTGATGATAATTCTTCATGTTTTGATCGATCAATTATATTAGATGAACTATCCATTCGAGCACGGAATATGTTTCTACATGCTCCATAAATAGTATCTTTAATAAAGAAAAGAGAAAGTTTTAATTTATGAATTTTAAAAATATTTACCAATTGCTTCATATGGTAAACATTTATATATTATAAAATGACTAGATAATTCAACAGCACTAACAATGGCTGAATCAAGAATTGGAACTAAATAGAAGAATATAAATAAATGTAAAAAAAAAATAAAATCGAATAAATAAATCATACAACGAATATGTGATTCCATCGAACGTTTAAGACCATCACGCAAAATACTAACAGATTCAGCAACTGTTAATTCTTCAATGAAAACTTCTTGAAAATGTTTTTTCAATACTGGATCTGCTGGATCTTGTTCAAAATGTTTGTCATATTCATCCAACGTTGTTGCACCAATACAACAAATTTCATGTTCAGCTTTAAACATGTATTTTTTATTGAATTATCAAAACAATAATAATATACATACATAACATGAATTTTAATAAATTTGCTGCATCATTTACACCTAAAAATACAATTCCTTAAATATCTTTTTCTTTCAACAATTTAAAGTTTGTTTTTACCTTCATCACCAAGAATTAAATGTACATCATCAATAAATGCGATAATACCACCATTTGCAGTTCGAATTTGTTTTAAAAATAATTTAAGGGTGTGGGTGTGGGGTGTGGGTGTGGGCGTGGGCGTGGGTGTGGGTGTAGGTGTGTGATGTGCATCAAGTCAACAACTATATTCACACCCACACCCACACCCACCCACACCCACACCCACACCCACCCACACCCACACCCACCCACATTTTTATCTCATAATGCTCCAAAAATTTTCTCAGAAAAAATAAAATTTCGTCGAGCATATATACTTCTTCAAAAAACATACATAATTTAATCCATCATACTCACGCAAAGGTTTAGCTAAACTAATTGCATCAAATGGATTTATACGAAATTGATATTGTTCTAATTCGATTTCGTTCAATTGCAGTTTCCATAAAAGATTTTCACGAAAACCTGGTTTGAAATTGATAAAAGTTTTAGCAAATGTAAATTCAGATACATATCTCACCCATTCGATGCCGATTTCAAGGTCTTTCGAAATGCAGTTGTATTCCAACTACAAAGCTGGAGGTTCATCAATTTTCTTATTTGCAGGTTCTATATATCAAAAAAATTCCTTGTAAACCGACATGTCATGTTCCTGATTTAAAAATGAATTTATATTTAATATCAACAAATGTTTCTAATATAAAAATGAATTTCTATTTAATATTAACATATGTTCCTGCTATACAAATGAATTTAGTTTTAATATCACCCAATGTTCCTGATATAAAAATGCATGTTTATTTAATATCAATATATGTTTCTCATAAAAAAATGAATTTATATTCAATATCAATGTATATTTCTGGTATAAAAATGAATTTATATCTGATTTGAAAATATGTTCCCGATATAAAGATTAAATCATTTTTAATATTACAATGTGCAGCTGATACAGACATTAATATTTTTTTCAATATTAAATGTGATTCTGGTTTAGAAATTAATTGAGCTATGGCATTAAACTATGCAATTGATTTTAGAATTAAATGATGTTTAATATTAGAATATATTCTTGATGTTAAAATTGATTAATTTGTTATTGTGAAATTAATCTATTAATAGTTATAGAAGAAGACGATGAGGGTGAATTTAGTTCTGGTTGAATTGTAGAATAATGTTAAGATGTTTATATTAATTTCATATTTTTTATAATTAATTTATATCTATTCGTGTTAACCCTTTCTTGCCCTATGGTATTTATAAATACCATTTTATAAAAAATTGATTCTTTTAAACTATGAGACATTTAGAAAAGGATTTTACATCTACTTAATGTCTGTATATTGTGTACACGAAATCAACAGTTTGAAACTATTCTCTACTATAAAAATAATATTTTTGACGTTTTATGAATACATAATGTTATGGTACGCACTATGATCATGTCATGAGAGAAAGAATTTGTTTGTTCTACTTTAGTAATATTCGTTGGAGTATATATCTTCTGTTTTCTTTCTTTTCTGTCGTCACGCGCTGATAATAGCGTATGTCGTATTTTCTTTTCTATAACTGTACGTTGAAGTATATTTAAATGCATTCACTTTCATTTCGATTTGACTGAAGTATATTCCAATATTTTTAGTATAATTTCATTCTTCGTTTCTCAGGTATTTGTACTGACCATTACCTGTGAAGATCATTTTCTTGTAAATGTGTAGTGAATATAACAGCATCTTCAGATCAGATACAGAATAATACAATAAAATAGTCTTCTATTAAGACTATCAGACGATTATTACGTCCAGGTGAACCAAGAGTTTATTGCTTCAGTTATTCTGATCTTTTTTACTCTGAAAAATGTTTATCTCGATACCCAGCGGAAGTTCAAATTCCGAAGACGATGAAACTGATCATATGATTGATCATATCGATCATAACTCTGATGAAGATAGTCAAAAATCACCTCCGAAGAAAAAGAAATCAGAAGAAATCAAATGGAAACGTCGAACTTTTAACTCAATTTGTTTTCCTGAAAGCCAATTGAATCCTGTCTCTTATTTCGTCAACCTATCCAAAAAAACTCCGCTTGCTGTGTTTGAGTATTTTATAGATGCTGCATTGATTAAAAAAATTACATTTGAATCAAACAGATATAAAAACCAAAAGGTATTTCAAATTTCTGATGTATCAGAGATAGACATCAGGAAATTTATTGCTGTATTGATATATATGTCAGTAATTCGTCTTCCAAGACATCGAATGTATTGGTCGAAACCTACGAAACAAGCACTCATATCATCTGTTTTGACTCGTCATAGGTTCGATGAAATTTTATCGATCCTACATTTTAACAACAATGAAAATGAACCAACAAAAACTGATCATAATTATGATACACTTTTCAAAATCCGACCACTTATAAATCACTTCAATGAAAAGTTTCAATCAGCAACATTTCCAGAGGCAATTTGTAGTGTCGATGAACAAATAGTGCCTCACAAGGGATTCAGCAGCTTGAAAAGATATATTCCCTCCAAACCTCATAAATGGGGCTACAAAATGTATGCACGTGCAGGAAAGTCAGGCTATTTATATCAGTTTGAAGTTGAAGGCGACAATCATTTAACAATTGTAGACTCAGAAGTCGGAGCAGCTGGAAACGTTGTGATCCGACTTACAGGAAGTTTACCTAAAACTTCATTTATTGGCTATGATAATTATTTCGCAACCATTAAATTACTCAAATTTCTAAATGCCAAACAATATTATGCAGTATCTACAATGAGAGCAAATCGGTTCAATTCGTCTTTGCTAAAATCTGATAAGCAACTGGAACGACAGGGTAGAGGATCATTTGATTTTCAAACTACTGAGGACGGACACTTAGTGGTTACAAAGTGGTTTGATAATAAAGCAGTTTACGTACCCTAGAACTGTTTTGGTCCCTTGTCTGTAGGTGAAATCGAAAGATTTGATCGGAAAAGTAAAACTCACATAACAATATCACGCCCATATTCAATAAACGCATACAATCAATGCATGGGCGGAGTAGATCATTTTGACATGTTCATGAGCTTATATCGAATTGAATTGAAAGGAAACAAGTGGTATCGAAAATTTTTTATAATTTTCTGGATTCTTCTATCATCAACTCGTGGTTCATTTATAAACAAATAACATCTTCTGACATTGATCTCTTGAACTTCAAGTTGAATTTAGCTCAAAAATTAGTTATATCTCTTGCCGGTGTTCAATCAATGACACTTAGTGTGAATGACTTTTCAAGATATGATCAAATTGGACATTTTCCTGGTTGGAAAGATTTAAATGGCACAACAAAAAATTTCCAAAGTAAATGGTGTCAATTTCCTGGCTGTCGTAAAAAAACCAGCACTTACTGTAAGAAATGTAAAGTTTGGCTTTGTTACGCTGAAACTAATCATTTCGAATTATTTCATCAACTACAAGAATAGATTTTTCAAATTTCTAAACAAACGACAATGCAACTGACAGTGCACGACGTGAATGCGGTGTTCATATATGTATATGAATCACACTATTGTCCTTGCTTTGTTGTCTTTTTCAGACATTTTTTCAAATAAAAAGAATAACAAACGTATTATGTATCTAATATACTGACACTTAATGGATTTGATTCAAACTTCTCCTACGTATACTAGGGGTCATAAGATTACTTTTATTGAGCGAATCGTCCATCTGAACCCTCAAGTTTAGTCAAAGGCAAGAAAGGGTTAACATTTATTCTTTTTGCGTGGGTTTTGGTTAAGAAGAATAAAGAAAATATTTTTTGACTTACGTTGATCGTCCTCGTCGTCATTGTCACGTGACATGAGGTATGTGATGGGTGGAATAACATTAATTTTTCCTTTCAATTCATGGTAGAGATGTTTTGATAGTTTGTCACCAGCATTAAAAAGTTCTTCGATGTTGGTGGTGCTGTTGTTCAATAGCAACAAACTATTTCTGACTTGGTCGATTCCTTCATCTACACCACCAGCTACCAGCACTGTGTTTATTTTTGTTTTCAAAGTATTCAGTTGTTCGCCTTCATTTAATTTATTGTATTCTTCGATTTTGTCAACTGTATGTTTTATAATTTCAGAACGTGCTTGTTCAGTTGTAATTGTTGATAATTCTTCATAATCTCTTGATGAATGTGATAAATAAGCAAATGCATCATCTTTATATTGACCATCAATTAAAATAACATGACAGCTGGAAACGGATTGTGTTGCAATTTTTGAGAATGTTCTATTAGCTTGTTCTTGATCTACCCAGGTGAATGAATCCGATACCGGATCCAATCGGATCCGACTATCCGACAAAATCCTATGGGATTCCGGAAAACGGATCGACTAACGGATCTGACGGGCGAAACCTATTTTCTTAATTACGTGCTAATTAGCATTTTAACCCAATACTAGACACCAGTCATATTTATACGATGAATTACTATCGGAATCCGATAGTAGGATCCTATAACGTCTAGACACTAAGGTTCCGTTAGTAGGATCGTCTCCCGGATTCCTATAGGATTTCGTCGGATTTATAGAAATTCCAATAAAATCCGATCGAATCCGATAGGAATCCGATCGGATCCGATTGTTGGAATGATTCTCCTGGGTACATTTACAGTACCATATAATATTCATTATCTTTTCGTTGAAAAGAAGAATTTTCTGAATTAGTAATAAGAAACTTTTGTGTTTTTCTCTTGAACTTGCTTGAATTCATTCGGTAATAATTAAAGTCTTAGTTAAAAACCTTTAAAAAAAAGACATATTAAATGAATGTTGTTTTATTTAAGACTATTTATCAAATAGAATTGGTTGATTTAAAAAAACAAACATGACTAAGA